CTTGCGGGGGTCTGAAAATGGAGCTTAGAGCTCCTGCCCCCAGACTCCTACATCCGGGAGCAGACTTTCCACTCCAAGGATTTCCAGTCGCTGGCTGTTCCTGCAGGATTCTGTCCTGACTGGATATCTCTCTCTTTTGTGAGCTAGGCTGACACCACAGCACTCTAGCCAGGGCAACAGAGAGAGACTCTGTCTCAAAAAACCAAACAAACAAACAAACAAACAAAATATATATATAAACATCTCTGAGGATTGTTTTCCCCCTGGGAGAGGTACAGGTAGGATGACTGTCCAACCGCCTTATTCTATGGACATTATTGGTTGGACTCCATACCTGGAGAATTTCTCCCTCCAGAGACTTCTCTCCCTGTCCCTGCTGTGTTTGTGCGTCTCCTCCCTACATGACTGACTGTCTCAGCCTTCCTTTCTCATCATGCATGGTCTCTCTCCGCACTTTCTAGAGCTGAGCGCCTCTACATGGAAATAATTTTCGTTTTTTTATTATTTTCATTTAATTTGGATTTTGATAAAAAATATATTCATGTGTTTTTCACTTTGAATTCAATGTATCATTTTGGTTTTGATCCTTTACAGCAGCACTGTCCAATAGAAATATAATGCAAACCATGTAGGCAATTTTAAATTTTAAAAAAATTTTTAGTAGCAACATTAAAAAGAGTAAAGAGAGCTGGGTGCAGTGGCTTACACCTGTTTGTGCCTATAGTCCCAGCTACTGGGGAGGCTAAGGCAGGAGGATCACTGGAGTTCAAGTCTGGACCTGGTAACATAGCGAGACCCTACCTCTCAGAAGAAAAAAAAGTAAAAAGAGAGAGGTGAAATTAATTTAAGTAATATATTTTATTTAACGGAATAAACTCCAAATATTATCATTTCAACATGTAATCAATATGAAAAGCTATCAATGAGATATTTGACATTATTCTTTTTCCCAGACTGGTTTCTGAAATCTGTGAGTATCTTACACTTACAGCACATATTGATTTAGACCAACCATATTTCCTCTTTTTTTGAAAAATAGAGGTAGAGTCTTCCTCTGTTGCCTAGGCTGGAGTGCAGTGGTGTGATCATAGCTCACTGTAATCTCTCAGTTAAGTTTTTTTGTTTGTTTGTTGTTTTTTTTGAGACAGAGTCTCGCTTTGTTTCCCAGGCTAGAGTGAGTGCCATGGCGTCAGCCTACCTCACAGCAACCTCAAACTCCTGGGCTCAAGCGATCCTTCTGCCTCAGCCTCCCGAGTAGCTGGGACTACAGGCATGTGCCACCATGCCCGGCTAATTTTTTCTATATATATATTAGTTAGCCAATTAATTTCTTTCTACTTATAGTAGAGACGGGGTCTTGCTCAGGCTCAGGCTGGTTTTGAACTCCCGACCTCGAGCAATCCGCCCGCCTCGGCCTCCCAGAGGGCTAGGATTACAGGCGTGAGCCACCGCGCCCGGCCCCTCTCAGTTAAGTTTTTTAAAAAATTTGTGTCATATGGCCGGGCACGGTGGCTCACGCCTGTAATCCTAGCCCTCTGGGAGGCCGAGGCGGGTGGATCGCTCAAGGTCAGGAGTTCGAAACCAGCCTGAGCAAGAGCGAGACCCTGTCTCTACTATAAATAGAAAGAAATTAACTGGCCAACTAATATATAGAAAAAATCAGCAGGGCATGGTGGCACATGCCTGTAGTCCCAGCCACCCTGTAGTCCCAGCCACTCGGGAGGCTGAGGCAGGAGGATCTGCTTGAGCTCAGGAGTTTGAGGTTGCTGTGAGCTAGTCTGACGCCATGGCACTCACTCTAGCCTGGGCAACAAAGCAAGACTCTGTCTCAAAAAAAAAAAAATTTTGTGTCATAAAGATGGGGTCTCACTGTGTTGCCCAGGCTGGTCTGGAACTGCTGGCTTCCAGCGATCTTCCCACCTTGGCCTCCCAAAGTGCTGGGATTACAGGTGTGAGCCACCACACCCAGCCCCAGACCAACCGTGCAGAATATCCCCACGGGGCTGATGGCCCCGACACTGCGCAGCCCAGGTCTAGATCGCCAAGAATGGGATGTGGTGATAGGAACACACCTACCACCAGGAGGACAAGTTTCCTTAGGTGGTTATAAACCTTCCCTCCTCCCCAGCCTGGATAGTCCCCAGCTCCTAAAGCTTAGGAGCTTTAGTTGGTGCCTCTAGAGGTTTCAGTGGCTCACCAGGTTTCAGTGGCTGGCAGCTGGCCGGGTCATGTCTCCTGTAGAGCTGTCACTCTTGCCTCTGATGGCTGAGCTATGCCAGGACATTGTGTTTGGAGAGAGCGCCTAAGGGGCCAAGGGTGTTTCTCTGAAGTCTGTACCTCTGTTTATCTCCCTGGCTGTCAAAACACTGGGATTCCTGCTGCCAGCCTTCTGCTGGGGGTCTCTGGAGCCCGGAAGACCCAAGGCATGGGCTACAGGCAAGGATCCTCCCCAAACTCCCCCTTTTCCCAAGGGACAAATACCTTTTGAGCCCTGCTCAAGCCTGTCACTGATCTCAGCAAATCGGTCAATTGTGTCTCTATTAGCACCTCTGTCTGCACGCCAGGACTTGTTTATTTTACAGATAGATGGCTGTTTCCTCTTCACGGCCTGTTAGTGCATCAAAGTGACATTGATTAGGCTTGACAGGGCGATTGCTTGCATGGGGCAAGCAGGAGAGCAGAGAAATGACAAACATGTGGTTTTAAAACATAAGGAATTGGGTTCAAATCCTGCCTCTGCCACTTATCTCTGATCTCCTCATCTGTATGTCTCCTCATCTGTATGTTGGAAATAAAAGGAATAGTAACAGGATCCACCTAAGGGTATTTAATCCTCACAATAACGGATGGAGAGCTCTTGGCTTGTACTAAGCAACTAATACATGCTAGTCATTGCTCTTCTTTGCCTCACTTTCCCACAACTCTGGTTAATTGTCTTAGCTCCCATTGGGCAGAATAACAAATGCCTAAAGAGTATTAAATCAACAAATGACTGGGGGCTTAAATCTCCCTGTGGGTTCAGCAGACCTTGAGCGAGGTGAGGGTTTATTCTGTGTCCAGGCCTTGTTCTGAAAGCGGGCATCAGGAAAGGAGGCAGAAATCAGGGACTGCCTTGGGTGATCCACTGTCCAGTGAGGAAATGGACCTCTGGGCACAGCTGGCAGCCCAGTGGATGGGGGTTGTGCTGGGGGTGCAGAAATGTTGTGCGGAGAAGCTAGGAGGCTCAGTAAAGACTGCTTGGAAGAAGTCAATTTGGCACTAGCTGGGAGTGTCATGTGATAATGGCCATCCGTGAGCCCAGTAGGTACTCAACAAGTACTTGTTGCACAGAGAGTGTCATTATTCCAATCTGCCATGGACATTTTAGTTCAAGGATAGGCATTAGCCAACTCATGATAGTTTGGTCATGACAGGTAACTTTACCCCATCTCAGTTAAATTTCAGGTCTTTGTCTGAGAGGGGAAAAATGCAATATATAGGCTGGACTGAGCTCAATTTTAGGAAGGGGTTGGCTTTGCTGCATTGTGCAGCGGATCCTATATTGGTCAGGAACCAGCAAGAAACATAATTTACCAGGGATAGTTTAAACGATAAGATGTGAATGAAGGGACTACGTATAGAGAGTGAGCAGGGTTAGGGAACCTGCAGGAAGTAGCAACAGTGGAAAGCCATGGGATACAGAGGTAGCTGTGGTCCAGCTTCAATGCAGCAGATGAAGACTTTCAGGGACAGCAGAGCAACAAGGTGGAAGGAACCTGGATCCCTGCATGACCTTGTGGAGCCAAATCACCTTGCCTGTCTAGACTGCCCACTTACCTCTGCATAGTGGATGTGAGGCCAAGGTAAAGAGTTTGGATTTTATTCTAGGGAGGATGGTTGCTCAATCTGATTTGCATTTGAAAAAGAACTCTCTGACCAGTGTGTGGACAATGGAATACAACAAACAAAAGTAGAAGCTATGAGAGCAGTGGGGAGGCTATTCTATATTCAGGCAAGACATGCTGGTTGCCTTGGTCAAGGGTGGTAGCAGCAGAGGTCGCAAGAAGTGGGTCAGATTCTGGATATGTTTTGATGGTGGATTATAAGGATTATCTGATGAATTTGACTTTGGAAAATTTGTATGTTTAGGAATAAATGATATAATACAAAATGCTTAACATGGGCCCTAGCACATAACTATCATTGTTTTAATAAAGGCTTTCTGACCATCACAAGACACTGATGGCTTGGATTAGGAAAGCAACTCACTACTTTGGTGTCTGTGGACATGGTCTTGGACTGTCCCTGAGACCAGTCTTAGAAGGGAGGAATGTCAGTGGGCACATCCCAGGATGCCAAGAGATCTTCTTTGCTGTAGTCAATTGGGCTTAGAACTGGTAAAAAAAATTCACTGCTCTGCCCACCTCTATACAGCAAATAATCACCAAGCACCTATGAGCTAAGAAGTGTTCTAGAAACTGAGGGAAAAGTATCAATAAGACATACTATGCCACTGCCCTCCTGTTGCTGCTCTTCTTTGCACTGGGATGTGCAAAGAAAGTGAGGCGTCTTTATTTCTCTTTAGCTCTTCCAACCCTTCCCAGATGCTTCACTCCACGCCCCCCCCCCACTGGGAATTGATTGCCAACTAATAATTCCATAGTCTCTTCCCAGGTAAAAGTTCAAGTTCTAAGAATTCCCTTCTCTTGCCCAAGATGGATCATGGATGTACATCATGGTTTACTGCAAGAGGCAAGGTGGGAGGGTGCCTTGATGCCATGGGCCCCTTGAGCCCGGCTGCTGCTCATCTATGTTGGTGTGAAATGGTCTCCTTCCAGAAGACTAAATGGGTAAATAGCAAAACACCCCCTCTTTCAGTTTTCCCTCAGTCTACATGGTACCCCACTTGTATCTGGGACATTGTCTTAGAGAAGAGAGGTCACCACCCACAAGCTTCTCTGCCAGCTGCCCCTCCTCCAATCTCTTCTTCTTCTACCATCCACTTTCTTTTCCTTTCTTAGCAGAACACCCTCCTGGCCTCCTCCTACTGAAGTTGGCCTCCCTTTCCTGTTTCTCTGGGACCATATGGCGAAATGACTTGCAGGTAGGATTGAAAGATTCACAAATAAATTTTTAGTATAAGTATGTCCCATGCAGTATTTAGGACATATTTGTGTTAAAAAATTACTTGTTCCTTATCTGAAACTCAAATGAATTAGGTTATTAAGTAGTAAATGTCTGATTTCCTTAAGTACTAAGTTGATATCTCTGACATTTCACTTTAATGCTTCGTGTTTTATTTTTATTGTGAAGGTACATCCTCAGTCTTTCAAACACATATTTTGGCTTGTGATTATCCTCAATTTTTTTAGAGCAATTCTTGTGAAGCCATGGATAAGTCAAAAATGTGTGTTATTTTCAAATATGAGTTCTGTCATGGAACTAGTGCAGCGCAGACAGCTCAAAATATCAACAAAGTGTTGGGAAGGATGTGGCTAATGATCGCACAGTACATTGGTGGTTTGAGAAATTCCATTCTGGTGATTTTCATCTTGAAAATGGGCCACATGAGCGACCTGGACCAAGGTGGATAATGATGAGCTTACTGTAGTGGAAGCGAATCCATCTCAACCTATGCGTGAATTAGCAGCAAGGTTTGACATTACTATTCCGACAATATTGGACCATTTGAAACAAATCTGGTAGGTAAAGAAGCTGGATAGATGGGTTCCACATGAATTAAACAAGTGTCAGATGAGAAATCGTCTCGAAGCTTGCCTTTCTTTGCTGTCATGACATAAAGGCGAAACATTTCTATACCATATGTTTACATTTGATGAGAAATGGATTCTTTTTGACAATTGCAAGCATTTGGCACAATGGTTAGATAAAGATGAAGTGCTGAAACACAGACTGAAACTGAATATTCATCCAAAAAAGCTAATGATGTCTGGTGGTCCATCACTGGCAGTATCCACTACAGCGTCATGAAACCTGGTCACTCAATTGCAGTGGATATCTACTGCAACCTACTGGACGAAATGATGAGGATGCTTGCAATTAAGCAGTGGAGATAGTCGCAATAGAGGACAGACCAATCCTCTTGCAAGTTAGTCGCAATAGAGACAGACCAATCTTGCAAGACAACACTCGACCGCATGTTGCACAAACAATGCTACTCAAACTACTGAAGCTGGACTTGGAAACTCTGCCATCCACTGTTATTCACCCAACCTTGCACCAACTGACTACCACGTCTGCCTGGCTCTGGACAATTCTTGCAAGGAAACATATTCAATTCTCAACAAGCTGTGGAGAACGCCTTTTACGATTTTATTGCCACTTGCTCTCCAAGGTTCTTCGCTGCTGGCATAAACAAGCTATGGTTAAGATGGCAAAACTGTGTCGATAGCTTAGGTGCATACATCGATTAATTGTGTTTTTGTTTTTTTTTTTGTTTGTAGTTTTTTGTTTTACAAATACTGTTTTATTTTCTTAATTTTTGTTTCATTTTTGATTTAACTGGTACTTTCATACTATTTAACTTAATAACTGGGTCGATTGTATCTGGCAACCTATTCTAGATTGATGGGAGAGAGAATGAAAACACACATTGTTCAAAGCATATATCGTTTGATACAGGGCTTACCCCCTTCTGGCTTCTTGGCTGGACAGACTTAGAAAGAAGGAGGCAGCCCCCCTTCCTCCTTAGCATGGGCTGCTCCCAGTTCCTTAGAGGAGCCCATTGTGTCTGTTGTGTGTGAAGGGGGGAGGGGTGGGTGATGAAGGAATCAGCTTTGGCTTCCTGCCCTTCCTCCCCCAATCACACCAGGCAGGCTTCCCTGGGATGTGGGTAGCCCCATCCTGTTGGCAAAGCAATTGCTTACCTAGGACTTTTATGAGGACATTTTTATTGGGCTGTAATTGAAGAAAAAAATTCCAAGACACTCCAGATTTTTCTCATAAGCCTGCTTCAGGCATGTGTGTGTGTGTGTGTGTGTGAGTGTGTGTGCGTGTGTGCACACGTGCATGTACGAGTGCTCATATACTCCGGCCAGACCACACCAGAGTTCTTGTGGAAAAAGTGAGGAGGTTTTCGTGTAAAACATTTGCTCTCCTTTTCTCTAAATTAAGGACCAGAATAAAGATCAGTTGGGTGTCTGGAGAGCCTGTAAGAGTCTTTTCATTAAGCAAATATTCTAGCAGTTGGAGAATGGGTTTTTACGTAGGACGGCTGCATTTGTCATGACAGCCTAAAATCCTAATGTAAGTTGACAACCATATTTAAGAAACCCTGTAATAGAATGCAGAGCCTGTTATCTATGTAAAACTGCTCGGCGAAAGTTTATAAATCATATACATATATTTAAAAGAATGTGAAAGTAAATCCAGATGATGGTGTTTTAGAAACAGGCTGATTGTAATCCCCTGTTGTGCCCCGTTGCTGTTCTGAGAAGCTGCAGAAGGTTTCATCTTGGAGTCTGTGTGACCAGCCCTCCCACCCGCCAGCTCAGGAAAGATGGAGATACAGATGTCCCTTCCTAGCCAGCCCCTACTTGTCCCAGCAGGAAGGAACACTATGCAAGCTATTATTGAGTACCTACTATGCGCCAGGCACTGGGCTGCTTCTTAATTTCCATCCTCACAACAGACTTGTGCAATGCTGTTACTCCTTCCCATTTTGACACTTGAACTTGAGTGAAATTTCGCTAAGCTCACACAGCTGGGAAACGGGTGGCGTCTGAATGAAAATCGAAGTGCATGTGCATCCAAGGTGCCTGTTCCTCCTGCCACTCCATCCCTGCCCTAGGCAGCAGCTCAGCTCGGAGGTGGTGTGGTGTGTTATGATCTCCTTGGCTAGAGACATGTCCCTGCTTCTCAGGAGGGACGAAGCTGCACCAAGAGTGAGCTAGGTCAGGCCGTGTGCCCCTGTGTGGAGGCCATTTCCGGGACAGGCCTGAATCCACTGAGTCAATATCCTCCCAAAGGTGCTCACTCCTGTTGGGTGGTGCCTGTCGTCAGATCAAAGTCCAACAAATGCACGGATGAGGTTCTTTCAGATGCTGCAAGACAGACTCCCACTCACATGAGTGCAGAGATTCATTGTAATAAGAACACACTTGAAAGCAAGGACCACCCTGAGAACGGGAATGTCCCCCAGGATATACCGCTGACTCCAGTGACCAGGTTACCAGGGTTCTCCTCAGGCCGGGCTGCTCCGCGTTTCACGGCTCTGCCTTTATGGGGACTCAGCTCTTCTGCTTTGCTTCCGGTATTCCTGTTGCTACCAGCCAACCTCCTCTGGTCCTTAGCTTAGTGACTTCTGCTGCCTGGTGACTTCCCTTCAGGTCCCTCCCTACCCATCCTGCCACCTCTGACTCTGTCTTCCAAACTCTCCAGGAGAGAGGACCTCTTTGGGTGAGCACTGACTGTTCAGGAAAGAGCGCTGTCCGTGGCAGCCCTTATGTCAGACGCCTCCCAGGCCTCTGGCTACCTGCGTGTCCAGAGACAGACCAGGTAAGACCAGGTTTTGCAGCAAATAACGGAGACTTGACAAATAGTGGCTTAAACAGGATAGACATTTCCTTCTCTTTCAGATAAGGAAGCGTGGAGGGCACGGGCAATCCAGGCTAGCAGGGAGCCTGGCAATCCTGCTCACACTGTAAGTGGTACCACCGAGGCAGGATGTCAAAAGACACACCCCTTTCTCTTTTTTCTTTTTTTTTTCAGAGAGTCTCACTTTGTTGCCCAGGCTAGAGTGCCATGGTGTCAGCCTAGCTCACAACAACCTCAAACTCCTGGGCTCAAGCGATCCTCCTGCCTCAGCCTCCCGAATGGCTGGGACTACAGGCATGTACCACCATGCCCAGCTAATTTTTTCTACATATTTTTAGTTGGCCAATTAATTTGTTTCTATTTTTAGTAGAGACGGGGTCTCGATTTTGCTCAGGCTGGTTTCAAATTCCTGATTTTGAGCTCTCCTCCCGCCTCAGCCTCCCAGAGTGCTAGGATTACAGGCATGAGCCACCGCACCCGGCCACCCCTTTTCTTTTGAAGCAGCTTCTCAGAAGCACCACACAAGAATTCCACTTACATCTCGCTGGCCAGAACATAGTCACTTGGCCACACTTACCTGCAAGGAGGTTGGGAACTGTTCTACTTTAGCTGAGCCCATTGCCACCCAGCTAATATGAAGTGAGGGTCTTCCTCAAAGTAAAAGCTGAGAATGGAGATTGTGAAGCAAGTAGAAGTCCACACCCAGCTGCTGACAAAGACGCTTTGCTTGACCAAACTTCAGTCAAGCTCCTGAATCTCCTCCTAGGCCCACCTGTGCCCTTCCTTGCAAGATCTAGTTCTCACAAGAGCCTTGCTGGGTCAGTTTAGCATGAACCCCCTTGACATCTGATCAGGTTCCTTATCCCCCATGATCCCTCAGGCGGTCACCCTGGCCTGTTTCAGTGAGAATCCTATTAGATCCGAGAATCCTATTAGATCCGTTTAGCCAGAACCCCCTCCCCCTGGAGGTTTCCTCTTAATAATTTCCCATCCACTGACCCCCACCACCCTGTGACTTGGCTGTAAATTCCCACTTTCCCATGCTGTATTTGGAGTCGAGCCCAGTCTCTCCTACTGCAAATCCCATTGCGGTGGCCCCCATACCTATCTTGATGGTCCTCAATAAAGTCTTCCTTCCTGTGCCTTCACAAGTGTCACTGAGTAGTTTTTCTTAAACAGTATCCGTTCCGGTGCCGCCATCTACAGCCAGCACATACGCGAAGAGTCTGTGACACCAGGAATCCCTCGGAAGAGGGCGCTGGCGTGACGGGCGTCCTGTACAGGAGCTTATTCAAATCTAAGTGGCATGTGGCATGGCTTCAAGGGAACCAGAAGAGCCCCTTCACTCCACCCCCATGTTTCCCCCTGAGCAGTCCTGCCTGTCGGCTTCCAGGCACTCCAGAAGTGGGGACCTGAGCCTGGGAAAGCTAACCTGTCCTCCCTCCTTTATACTTAAATGTTCTCATCTCTGCCTAGCCAGCAAGCCCCCCTCCCAACCCCCGTCACTACTGTCAGGGTGGTCCCGGCAGTCAGTATCACTGAGCTGGAGCCCCGCAAGGCTGGTCTGCCTGGTCCGAGCTGTGGGTCCCAGGGGCCCCGTCACAGACTCAGAGGGTACAGGAGGCAAGGCCAGAGCACCTGTGCAGGCGTGAAAGGAGATGGGGTCTGAGGGAGGGAGGGCACAGGGGTGGGCCGACGGGATCCGAAGTAGCAGCTGGGGTGCAGGAACTCTAGAGGAGGGGCGCATGTAGCAGCTCCCAGGGGAGAGAGACCGGCTGACCTCATATCCCCCGGCTTGGGAAGCGCAGCTGAGATGAGGGCACACACCCCGGGACACACTGAGACAAGCAAAGTGATCTGAGGCACAGGATTAGGGCAGCTGGCTCTCCTTGCTTGCTAGAGAGCAGCACCTGGGTGGGCAGAGGGTGTGCCGGGCTATGTCCCCTTGAGATTTCCCCAAGCCAAGTTTCCCGAGGCCCCGGTGCCTGTGGAGTCCACAGGGCAACAGAGGGGAGGAAGCAGAGAGGGCAGCTGTCCAGGCAGGACTCTGAGCTAGAGGCCATCGACCCCCCCCCCAGGGAGCCTCTTGGCAGGAGTCTGCTGGCCAGGGAGGAAGGTCGGGTGGCTGGAGCTCAGGACAGAGCTGGCGGTGTGGAGAAGAGTGGGTGGAGGTTCCCTTTCTGGAAGCCTCTCTACCCTGCCCACCTCAAGGTCTTTGCCACCAAGATTCCCCTTGGGCCCCTAAGCAACCCCCCATCTCCAGGGGGCGCTGTTGCCATCTGCATTCCTCTGTAGACGGGGCTTCATCTCCACGCATCTGCTGCTCTGTCTTTTCAGCATGCACGTGTTCCTCCAGAGGCTAATTCAGTGGCTAGAAGCCAGGCCGGCTGGTCAGAGCTGGTTCTGTCTCTGCTGACATGTAACAAACTACCCCAAAATGTAGTGGCTCAAAACAGGAGCATTTTTTTTAACAGCTAGAGTGCAGTGGTGCCATCATAGCTCACAGCAACCTCAAACCCCTGGGCTCAAGTGATCCTCCTGCCTCAGCCTCTCAAGTAGCTGGGACTACAGGCATGTGCCATCATGCCCAGCTAATTTTTCTGTTTTTTGTGGAGACGAGGTCTCGCTCTTGCTCAGGCTGTTCTTGAATTCCTGACCTGAAGCAATCCTCATGCTTCTGCTTCTCAGAGTGCCAGAATTACAGGTGTGAGCCACTGCATCCAGCCGTGAGCATTTTCTTATAGCTCATTTGTGGGTCAGTAATTCAGGCAGATTCAAGTGAACAATTCTCTGTTCACGTGGCACTGACAGAGGTCACGCTGTGGTATTTAACTGGCAGATGTGCTGATCTGGAGGGTCCAAGAAGGAGTCACTAAAATGTCTAGTGTCTGGGCTCAGCTGGGACTGTTGACCAGTTTACCCACACACACACCCACTCCAGTGTGGCAGTCCTGGGGTAGTCAGACTGCTCGCACAGTGGCTCAGAGTTCCCAGGGAGGGTATTCCAAGTGACCCAGCCAGAAGTTGAGAGGTGTCTTATGACCCAGCCTCAGAGGTCCCCAAATGCCACTTCTTTCTGCCACATACTCTTGGCAAGCAAGTCACCCAGAATGAAGCTGAACCAGAATGTAAGGCTTAGGAAGTGCCTTTAAGAACACAAGTTCACTACCAAGTTGGTAATATGATTCTACCGCCGCCAGCTAAGTGACCTGAGGAAGCATACTTAAGCTCTTTGAGCCTCGGTGTTCTTATCTGTAAAATGGGAATAATAATACCTACTTCTTAGGGTTTATGAGAGTTAAGTCTTATATATATATAATTTATAAGTAAATATTTATAAGTAAATATTATAAAATATATACATAAATACATATAAATTATATGTGTGTATATATATTTTCAGTGCCTGCTGTGGGAAGCCTGCTTATGACCACCAATATCTGCAGTTTCCTCTTCCTCTTGGCACTGACCCAGACCATCTCTCAGCCTCCCTTGCAATTAGGTGTGACCACTGACTGAGTTCTGGCCCATGGGACCTGAGGGGACGTCATATATCTGGCTTCGACATCCTCCCTGCTCACTCCCCTGACCCTGCATTAACCTTTGTTGCAAATGAAAAATAAAGCTTTGCTGACATTGTGCCACTGAGATTTTGGGATTTTTGTCAGAGCCATTAGCCAAGCCTGACTAATACACTGGTAGATACTGAGCTCTCAGTTAATGTCATCTGCTGTTCTGGCCCAACCTCTCTGCGCCTGTGTTCTTGTCTATAAAATGGTGATAAAAGGACCTAGCCCATAGGGCGGCAAGGAGCAAAAGAAGTGATGGGGAGTTTGTCTCACCAGCTTAGCTTCTCTTCAACCACAGTTATTTTATCTAAATACTACCAGCTGGGTCATCATTACCTTTTCTCATACGCACGATTATCCATAATAAAGCCTCTTGTAGGTTTTAAAAGGATAACAGGTGAATTTGCAGTGTTGTAGGCCTGAAGCCAGTAATGATGTATACTTTAATTCTGAATTCTTCCTAAAATCCATTTGACTTGATATTTTTAAAATCTAAATATAGAGTAGGATGTTTATAATTTAGAAGTTAGCTGATTTATTTATTTATTTTGAGACAGAGTCTCACTTTGTTGCTCAGGCTAGAGTGAGTGCCATGCCGTCAGCCTAGCTCACAGCAACCTCAAACTCCTGGGCTCAAGCAATCCTCCTGCCTCAGCCTCCCGAGTAGCTGGGACTACAGGCATGTATCACCATGCCCGGCTAATTTTTTCTATATATATTAGTTGGCCAATTAATTTCTTTCTATTTATAGTAGAGACGGGGTCTCGCTTTTGCTCAGGCTGGTTTCGAACTCCTGACCTCGAGCAATCCGCCCGCCTCAGCCTCCCAGAGAGCTAGGATTACAGGCGTGAGCCACCGCGCCCGGCCTTGATTTATTTATTTATTTTTATTTTTTAAAGTTATGTTATATTTTTAAAATGCAAAAAAAAGATCTCGCAAACATCTATAGTCCCACAACTCAATTATGGCCAACATATCTTAACATTTTGCTATATTTGATTTGTATTTTTTCCTAAAGAAATAAAACACTATGGATGAAACTGGAAAAAATTTAAAAAGAAGTGATGTATCTAAAGCACTTAGCACAGTGCCCAGCATATGCAAAGCGGTCAGTAATTGTCAGCTAATTTTTTTAAATTTTGAAATAATTTTAGGTTTACAGCAGACTTATAAAGATAACAGAGGCATTTCTTGTATATCACCCAGCTTTCGCTGGTTGTTATCTTCTTCCATAACCTTGCTACATTTATCAAAGAAATTAACATTGCTATAACTAAACCACAAACTTTATTTGGATTTCACCAGTTTTTCCACTTATGTCCTTTTTCTGTTCCAGGATCCAAGGGAGGATACCACGTTGCATTTAGGCCAGCTAATTTTTAATCATTTATCCATTCATTCAACGCACTGAGAATGCCACCCACTTTTGGTCCAAGACCGAGAATTCTGACTAGCGAATGATGCTGGGCCCTGTCCTTTGTGCTACAATGACAATTGATCATGGCTATCATTTTTGAGAACTTACCACATATTGTGCGAAGCACTTTCTGTGTGCCCACGCAATCCTTACCACAATCCCACGTAGTGGCTGTTATCAATCGCATGTTCTAGATGGGGAAGCTGAGGTGTAGAGAGATTAACTGAGACCACACACCTGATGAGGGGCAGAGGTAGGATGTGAACCCACTAACTCTGGCTCCAAAGTCATTAACAACACACCACTCCTTCTTTCACAAGGCTGCTCTAGAGAAGAGGGAGAGTAGACGCATTGTCACAGACTTCCCTGGGCGAGTGTGGCAGGCAGGCAGGCATGGGGGGGTGAGTGTGCCAGCCTGGAGCTCACTCAGCCTCTGTTTCCTCTAGTGCATGGGGAATATTTGGCTTTTCCTCTGCCTGCTGCCCTGTGGCTACCTCCCTTCTCCCCCTGCAGCCCCAGATTCTGCACCCAAGCCAGAGAGCCCCAAGAAGGTGACCTGCTGAAACCTAAACCCAGGCCCAAGATGTGGCTCTGCTGTAGTCTCAGGGCACCCACCCTGCCAGCAGGGGCAGGCTGCCCACACCCAGACTAGGATGATGATCTAGAGCCTGGCTTTTGGAGCTACTATCTTGGGTCCTGCTGATGCTACATGAGCAAGAAATAGCAACAAGGACTGAGTTGTCAGGCGGAGGAGGGATCCAAGGGAATCAGGAGTGGGCAGATTGGGCTACCAGGCTGGGACTGGCTTTATCTGCTCTAGAGAATAACAAGCCCCAGCAACCTGAGGATGAACTGAGAACAGCTTTCTATCCCTAGGGTGGACAGGAGCCCTGCTGGTTGTGGCTGGGCCCTGTGACTAAGCTGGGCACAGCAGCATCAGCCCTTCTACCATCCCCCAGCAGGGACATAGGTATACCCTCTGGGAAAGGTCCAGAGGGCACCTGAGGCAGCCAACAGCCAGCTGGGACTGGGACCAGGTGCTGCAGGGAGGTGATCAGAGGAGCCGACTGGGCACTACCTACCCTTGAGCCAGAGCCCAGAGATCCTGGATGCACGAGGTAGAATTCTAGCCCCGTCTCATCTTTTCTGAGCCTCAGTGTGTTCATCTGTAAAATGGGAATATTAACACCTACCAGGCAAGGTGGCATATGTCTGCACAGTTTATGAGTTGCAGAAGAGGTGAACAGGGACTACAACCCAGCCAGTGCTCGGCTCACCCAGCATGCAGGTGGGGCTGGAGGAGAGGAGGTGCCCTCTGGAGGCGAGACTCAGTCCCAGTCCCACGGCGATCCACCCCCTCTCATGGCTTCTGTAGAGAGGGCTAGTGGCCATGGTGCCAAGCTGTGGCTGCTGGTCCACAGACCCACAGGGCTGTGCCTGAGGGCAGGGTCATAGCCAGAGCCATGGGGCCCTGGAGCCTGGGAAGGCAGGGTCTGAGACAGCCAGGTGGGAAAGAATGATGAGGCACCAGGCAAGTTGAGTCCCGAGTGGTGCTATCACAAGGGGTAGGATGGCATTTTGGGACACCAAGGAGGAGCACGTATCTCAGGCTTGCGGGGTCCAGGAGGGCTTCCCAGAAGTGACGTCTAAACTGAGACCTCGAGGAGAAGCTGGAGCTAACCCAGCGGAAAGAGGTGAAGGTGAAGCATTCAGGTGGTGCCACCCGGCGCATGTGCGGTACTAGAGGAAGACAGTGAAGTGCGTCCTGGGAATGACAAGTGGACTTTCTGTCCTTTGATTGCGCAGTCTGTTTGGGAACAGAATTCCAGTGTGGCTGGAGATATGAGAAGGCCTCAGGTAATGAGGCACCTATATACTTACTTTGTCAAGGTGTTTGTCCTTTGAGGGGTTTAAGCCAAAGGGTGACGAGATCAGATTTCATTTCAGTAAGAAGCCTGCCCTGGAGAAGGAACAAGGCTGGAGGCAGAAAGACACTAGCCTGGCTGTTGTGAGAATTCAGGTGAGATTGATGAAGCCAAGTGAGCAGATCTGGGCAGTATTTAGGAGGGGTCCAACATGACACGTGTCACTGACTTGGGAACCTGTCAATGGCTATCAGAACCTGTCATCGAAACAGGGAGCTAGGAAGAGGAGTGGGTCTAGCTGGGGGCTGGTGATGAAAATCTCAGCTGAGTTTGAAGTTTGGGTGCAATACTCAAATGGAGGTGGGCAGTGGGAGGCAGAGGTTTTGAGCTCAGGAAGAGAATTGGGCCAGCTGTGTCCATGGAGGGGGGGAGGGTCATCAACCTAGAGATGCTAACTGAGGCTGCAGGAGCAAGTGGGTCCCCCAGGGGAGACAGGACACTGAAGGGCAGGCGAGGCAGAAGAGAGAACCTCGAGAAATCTCGACATTCGAGGGTCAGCCTAAGGTGTCAAGGGCTAAATAGCAACGGCCAGCAAGGGAGCAGGAAAACAGCCACAGATACCTTGGGTACCATTTACAGGTGAGGAACCTGGCAGGGGGCTTTCTATAGTGTTTTATTTTATTAGAGCATAAGAACTAAGAAACTCAGAGCCAAATATTTTTTTCCATCCTATAACCATCTTTCACCTAGGATTTCCTAGGATTTCTGGAGCGTCTCCTCCCAAACCCATATCTTCCTCTTGTTTAATGTCTCTATTTTTCAGGTCTCTGTAATTTTTTTTTTTTTTTGAAACAGGCTCTCAATATATTGCCCAGGCTAGTCTCGAACTCCTGGGCTCAAGCAATCTTCCTATCTCAGCCTCTTCAGTAAGGAGATGGTAATTGTGAGTAGTCCCTTTGGAAGTAAAGTGTAAATGGAGAGATTGGCTGGTTCCAAGAGACGCTATCTGTGCACACAAGTTGGCTTTGCGTAGGATGGGCACGGAAAGGATGGTGACACATGGAGAGGACGGTGACACATGGAGAGGACGGTGATGCATTGAACTTGGGTCTTTATCAGACAACCTTACTCTTGGTAGAGGGTATGAGGAGGACAAGATGAGGAAGAGGTCATCTAATCCTCAGCACTTGTACCCCGGCTCCTCTATCTCACACATGCGACAGGTATTGCTAGCTGATCCCCACTCATCCTCCTTCCCCATTAAGCCCTGGCATGGATTCTGGCCCCTTCTCTAGGCTGCCAGCATGTCGAATCAGAGTTGGCAAGCCACCTAGAACCTTGTGGGCACCCTGAAAATAAATCATCACTTCACAAACCACCAGAAGATTGCCTGTCTTTATTATGATGAACCATTTATTATAGAGACAGACCGAACTTTCTTTTGCATAAAGAATCTTTGGATTGGGTTGGGGAAATCCACCTGCTAGAGGTCACTACCCAGCCATCCCTGCCGCTGCCTCAGCTAAGCCCCCTACTTGCTATTTACATCTCAGGGTCACTGGGAACAGCAGAGGCTGCCGTCCCCAGAGCCAGGCTGGTCAGGTTGGGCCATGCTGGATGGAGGGTCAGGGCTCCTGGCTGCCTGCCAGGTCAGAGCCGCCCCGTCTCCCGCCCCAGTCTGTTGTCCAGAACCTGGAGCTGTCGGAGGAAGCCCGTGTTGGGGCAGATATCTCGGTGGGCTTGCACCGTCTGGATGGCCTCTACCAGTGTCATGTTCTCGCAGATCATGAGGAAGGCCAGGACAATCGTGGCGGAGCGGCTTACCCCCATGGCGCAGTGTACCAGCACGCGGCCTGCAGGGAGACCCAACCTAGCGTCAGCTACTTGCCCTCGAACCGCCCACCCCTTTGGGAAGAAGAGACGCCCCTGGCCATTCTTCACAGCATGCTGGAATACTGACACCGTCTGCGCTGTCAAATGGGGCAACTGAGGCCCAGAGAGAGGAAGAGATTGGTTCAAAGTCTCACGGCAAGTCAGTGACAGGGCTTAGCTTAAGCTGGCATTCCCTTCTGCTCCAGGGTGCTTCCTCTGGCATCCTTTGCAACTCTGGGAAGGGGGTTTACTCCTGGAGTTTCCCCGATTTGCTTCAGATTACTAGGGGTGCCCTCTTACCTCTCTTTTCCCCAGTTCTGCCTGCTCCCCTGCTCCTGAAGCCCTATGCAAGTCCTCATCCTGGAGGAGCCTGCTCAAGAGCCTCTGCTAGGCCCTGTACCCTCTGCCCAGCACCTGGCCTCTC